TAATTTTTACTTATAATTTTCTAAAGACATCCTCTTCAAATTTATATGTGCTATGGTGATCTAGGCAACCGAACTCAACCGAACTCAAAAATGACATTGTCTACAGCATTATCAAAGTTTAGGGCATGGAAGAGAAGCTTCATGAGTAGGGACTTCCCAGAAAGGCGTGCCTGTCATCTGCTAAGTGTCATTGTGACAGCCCATGGTCACATCCTCTTAACAATCTTGGTTTTTAGACTTCCCTCAGAGACGAGCTTATGGATTCCTCACAAAGATGATGTTCTGTATTCTCCTTTTAATCTGCATGACAGTTCTCAGAGATGAAACATTTAAAAAAAAAAAAAAAAGGCTTTCCCCACTTAGACAGAGGGAAATAGAAGCACAAGTTTCTGTGACATACCACAAGTCATATTCTAGTGGAAAATCACAAGCAGAACCCCAATTCTGCAGGTACACAATGGTGACCATAAGTTGTCACACACATAAGCAATGTATAAAGATAATTGTGGGTCAGCATAAATTTGCTAATGCCACTTAACTACACACTTTAAAAAGGTCAGGACAGTAAATGTTATCTGTGCTTTACTGCGATTGAAGAAAAAAGTGGGGGAAAAAAGTTAATCTAAAAAAATAATAATAAAGCCAACCCAGCAAGGTAGGGACGTGACTTCCTATAACAGGAATTGCCTGTGGCCTGTGATCTCTGCTTTGATTCTACAACTTTGAAGACCATATTGGCTCAGTCATTACCACAAGTATTCTGGTCATGAGGAAGATATCACTTTATACTTCATGCCCAATGTGTTTTTAAAAAGGAGTTACCTGGAGAAAACTAACTTCCTTCTTTCTTTCATCTTATTATTCATTCACTCAGTAGATAATTATGGAGGACTTGTAATGTGCCAGGCACAGTTCTAAGCTGAAACAGTTAGTTCACAGCACTTGGCCCTGTCCACCCTAGCTACAATTGTCTCTTCCCTGAGACTCCCCACCCTGGACTTCTCCATGATTCAGCACAGCAGGAAGTATCCGCTGAGGTGAGCAACTATTTCAAATGGTAAATGCCTGGGCTTAACCACTTGTTAAATACTTTATTACCCCCTAGACACAGCAAAGAATGAAAGAGACAAGAGCCCAACCCTTTAGTCTAGGAAAGAAATAATAAGTAAGTAAATACATAAAAATATAATTTCAAATAGTAGAGTGCTAAGAGAAAATAAGACAAGTAGAGGGATGATGGTAACAGAGTAAAACTTAAGAGAAAGTCTCTTGAAGGAAGTAACATTAGAAGGACCCAGGAAGGCAAAAGTCTGAGATAAGAACATTCTACATAGAGAGAACAGAAATATTAAAGCTGTCTAGTACAGCTGAGATATTCATGGTTGCATGATAGAATATTGTGAGCAAGGAGAGAGGGCCAGATGGAAGATCTTAATGACACTGGTAAGGAGACTGAATTTTATGCCAAGAATAGTGAGTAATCATTACACATTTAAAACAGGGTGATGAATAATCTGAATTTACATGTTTTAAAAAAGATTACACTGACAATTGCCTGACAACTGGATTTAAAAGGAAACAAGAGAATAAAAAGGAACTGATGTGTGAAGCTATGGTCATCCAATAAACAAGAATGTGATAGCAAGAGAAATGGAAAGATGTATTCTGATTCAATATAGGTTTTAGTGGTATAAACTTATTGATGAGTAGAATGTGTGAAGAGGGAATAAGAGGAATCAAAATAACTACTGTCCATTGATCCAGCAAGTCAATGATGGTAGTTCATTGACTAAAAAGACTATGAAGAGGAAAACAAGTAGGTTTATGGCGAGAAGAAATAATAGGTTCCATTTTGCCATAATAAATGTGAGATATTACTTAAGATATATGTGGGCAGCTATCAGGTAGTTGGGACCTGTATAAAATCCTACAAGGCAGACAAGATCCAAATTTCACAAATGAGAAAACTAAGGATCAGAGGAAAAGACTTATCTTAGTACAAAATCCCTTTTATTAGTCAATGCCCTATGACAGAAGGCTGATTCCATATTTTTAAAAAGAGGACTGTCTTCACTGTTAAAGACTTCTCTCTGGAAAAATATCACACCTCCACCACTTGCTCATTGTATAGGCTATGCAGACTTGAGTTAAATGGTTTCCCCAAGGAGACTGAGACATCCATATTAAGTACATGCAAAGTTTAATTGTGATGCATGTATAATGCTCATTACTAATAGCTTCTTACAAGATTTGTGTCACTAGTTAAGTACATATAGACTGTAGGAAATAAGGCACAAAGTTCTCTTCAAGATGAGATCACAATTCTTGGTTTTCATTTTTATTGAGTGTTATGTTAAAAGGCTTCCTGGAGGCCCTCCCTGGTGGCGCAGCGGGTTAAAGCACAGCACCGAGAATCTGAAGCCACTTCCGCATGAGTTCGATTCCCGCCTGCTGCCTGCCCCGGAGGAGACCACATGGCGAGCCAGACCTCTCCTGACCCGCCCGCTGCTCCCCTCAGCAGTGTACTTCGTCGATCTGCCTGTTCTGCTCCCCACTCTGTCTCTGGTGAAGCCTCTCACCGCCCCTGAGCCTCTGGCCTGTACCCCAGTTCTGTATGCACAAATAAATAAATAAATCTTTAAAAAAAAAAAAAAAAAAAGGCTTCCTGGAGAATGCATTTCCAAAATTAGAAAACCAATTGGCAAATGGCCAATACAAGAATAATCAGGCTGCACAACTCAGGACTGAAAACTAGCATGTAAGATAAGCTTCTACTAATTTCAGCACTTCCACAACCAAGCCACAGTCAGTTGCTTAACGGTAGTAGAAACTCCAACATTAGAAGACATTTTCTCCCAAATCAACACATCAATTATAGCTTCTTCCTTTCAAAATTCTAGGGGTGCCATGCTGAAATTAAGGAGGACACCAGTAAGAGGCAGGACAGGCATTAAATAGGAAAGGGAGGAAAGAAACAGATGAATTCTTCCCAGGGGCAATCTCTATGACAAAGGACCCACCAATAACACTCTCACATGACATCACAAAGCCCCTTAGGAAAGACATTTGTTTACATGGCTTGAGTCCAGACATTATTACAGGTTTTGATATTTTAAAAGCAGTGCCAATTATCACTTTCAAATAAATAATCATTATCAATGCAAAGTGAAAAATAAGCATGCCTACTTCATTCAGCTTACCAACAATTCACTGAACCTTCATGCCAACAGCCAGCTTTTCCTGTATGCTCTTAAAAGCAACAGCTTAGCTGGCACTACAAATAATCCTAGTATTCTCAGTATTAGAAGAAAACTTAGAGATCATTATATCCAAGCTTCTTCCTTCCAGCTAAGGATACTAAAGAAAGCTGAGAGATCAAGGGGTATACCCATCACCCCAGAAACACTTCAGGGTGAAAAATGTTTTCTGATTTTTTTAGCCATGATTCCTTGTTCTACCAAGACATCTACAGGAGAAGGGGGGAGGGGAGGAAAAACCTCAAAGCGCTGGACCAAAGTTTCACTTGAGATAAGAGGAAATCTTAATTGCAAGGGGGAGGAGGAGGAAGAGGAATTAATAGTAGTATCATCAATCCATTCCTTTATCAGCAGCTTCTTTAACAAGAGCCATTTTGGAGATTTGATCTTTCCTATAAAATCAATTTACATTTTTCATTCCCTAGATACTACCCCCACTCTCAGAAAAGTTTTTTATACTTTGCATATTACACGTGTTTTTAAACATTATCAGTCTAGTTTCCTTTCTAAACATTTAAATACCCACATTAACTAAAGACCGATCTTAACATTTTCTTTAGAAAATATTTTATAATAGTCCCTTTTTTATAAGCCCAATTAGGAGAGAAGAGCTGAGCTGGGCATCTCAGTCTTGGAGACAAGGCCCTGGAGCAGTCTGTCTGTCTGTCTGCCTGTCTGTCTGCCAGCCTGTCTGTCTGTCTGCCTGCCTACCTGCCTGCCTGCCTGCCTGCCTGTCACACCGCTTAGCCCACACTCTCCAACAGCTGACAGTCTTTCCAGCAACACCCCTGGAGTTTCTGGTTTGATGTAGCATAGTTTGATGTCTAGTAGCAAGTGCCTTCTTCCGAAACGGTCTTCAGGAGGAGGCCTTGAAAGGTCACACAGCAGCGTGCTTCCAAGCTTCAGAGGAGAACAGACCCTCCCTAAAGATGAGGGGAAATGACATCTCTTTCCACCTTTAGAACACATATTCTTCACCGAGTATCACACAGATCCATAAATGTTATTAGAGGTTGCAAGTACATATTTGTAGTAATGGTTTATTCTTTCCAAGTTTTGGGCCAATCCCAATATATATAGAAAAAAAATCTATATATATATATACACATATATATGTAAATATATTGAAACTCTGTAGTGTGTTCACATGAAACCTATATTTACATTTCTGCACTCAAGACAATAGTGTTTCTAATCAAAATTATTTTTAAATCTTATCTATTGAATTGTTGGAAAAGTCATTACATTTTTTTTTTTCTGTTTTCTGTACAAGAAACGTGCCATGACTTTCTGACAGCTCAACAGTTATTAAAGAGGCTGTAACATATGCAGGATTTATATTCAACTTGTCTACAGCCACACTTTATAAATGACTGGGTTGCTAATAGCAATCATTATAATATTAACTCTTCCCCCCATGCAATCTCAGATTTCCTTGTACCCCAAAGAGAAAGAGAGAGAATTTATATAATTTTTTTTTCTGGACATATTTTTCCTGGGCATTCTTTTAACTAAAACCCCAAGTTATATACTGAGGTTCCAGAATTCTCATTAGCTATTGGAAAGTAAAACCCAAGAGTAAACAATCTCTCAGAGGTAGTCCCCACTTCCATGCTAGGTTAAGTTCTCCAGATTTTAGCAATCTCACCATCTCCCAATTCCACCAAAACAAAATGGCCTTGATTTTATTTGTCAGCATTCCATTGGCCTGATTATAGAAAATAATCATGAAAAAGTACTTACAGCATAAGCACCTATCAAATATGCTGCATTTGCTCTTTTCCGTTGATCAAAACAGGTGTAATGCACTATTTTCTTTCTTGATAAGCTGTATGACTAGAAAAGGAATTAAGAGTTAGTGCAACTATAGAGACAACACTGGTATGTACAGAAGATAATTTTCTTAATTTTAATCTTAATTTAATTCTTAATTTTATCTTAATTTTCAAAGACGTGTCACGATCAGTAAATTTAACAGCTTTCTATTTTAATGTCTATGACATCTAGATATGAGCGAGGGAGCCCAGTGGGAGGGCCATCTGGCTCAGACATTTTTCCATCCATTCATGATGTAAGAATTGACTATAGAACAACTGTATTTCCAACCAAGAAAGAAGACTAACAACAGTACATTCTTGGCACCTTTATTAGCAGGAACCATTTTTTTGAAGATTTGCTCTCAATGCTCTCTCTAAAGTGGATTCATTCTTTCCCACATACCATTCCCACTCCCAGAAGTTATTTATACTTTTATATTATACAGTGTTTTCAGACATACCAGCCAGTCTACCTTCCTCTCTAAAAACTTTTTAAAATTAGAGCACCAATATTAATGTTTTCTTCCTAGAAATTTCTAGAAGTCTCTTTTTAATTATCTGAAAATAGTTAACAGAAAAAAATGAACTATCACAAGGATTATATCAGCAAATATCTGAATAGAGTAATCATATATTAATTGAATGAATTCAAGCAATTATAAAAAATCTACTTGCCACCAAATGTATTGCATGCCCATTTAATTCCAAAATAAACAATATGGTGTACATGCTTAAAATGAAAAGTATACAAATAAAAAATCTGTTAAAAGGAAGCCAAATTATTAATCAGAACTCAAATATACAACAATGAGAACACAGACACAACTCAGTGAAATCTGCTCAGCTTCCTCCTACATCAAAATAGTTCAAACATCTTGACCTGTGGTTTTCAAAATATACACACATAAGTACATTTTAATAATTACCAATAAATGCCTAACTATGAAAGCTGTTTTTTGTATCTTACACTTTCACCACACCCCAAATAGAATTTCTGCTTTTAAAGCCTCTGATAAAATACAAAAAAAAGAAAATACAAATAGAGCTCAACCATATGTTTCTTTATCCCCTCTTCAACTCTGAAGTCTATTCTAAGATGAAATGGTAACACAGAACCACAGGAAACATAGCTATAGGTGTATAGATTTCTCTTCGATACCTCACCACTTCAAGCCAGGTACTTCTTTGATAATCAGCAGTCACATGTTCTGAAAGTTATGTTGCCCTCAGTATTTGCCTCATCGAGGGACTCTCGGTAACATAGTCCGTATTTCCTGACACTTACAAAAATACTCCTAAGCAATAAAGAGGGGAAAGCCACATTTTACTGAGTGCAGTTCAGCCAAGTTCATACACTGAAGTGACATAGACTTCAACCGTCTGTCTACATGTTTCCTTTTCTTATCTTACTACGCATTTGTTTGCCACTATTGTTATCTACCATGGAGTTAGGCTTGATTTACTGGAAGAGGAGGCAAGGCTTTTAAGAACTAAGCATCCTTATCTTTGGCTCTCATACCTGAAGACTGCTTCCCATAACTGGGACTCCACAGCTCTCTGGCTCATCATCTATTCACACTTCTTGTGCCCTGAAACACCGTAGGTGACAGGAAACTATCAGCAATCTAGCCTGAAGTCAGGATTATCTGTTTTGATGCTGTTTTCTACTAAGAAATGATATTTCATTTCATCATGTGGAATTCAATTTACAAATCCACCTGCCAAAAGTGACAAACTCATATTGCTGCTCTTTTATCGCCCATGGCCTATTCAGTGTCTTTTTTCCCCAGTAACTTTTCGTGTGCTTGGTTTTCATTTTTTTCTCTCTCTTTCTAAAGCATGTGCAATGCAGTGGCCATCCTGGGATGGGAACCAGGAAGCCAAAAGGGCAGAATTCTGAGGGAAGTTTTTCTTCACTGTATAACTGTAATTTTTTCTAAGTAAATATGATAAATTAAAATTTTAAGCACTGTCAAAGAATTTTTTTTCAACATTTTAAGTGTTCTGAAATCATGTCACATAAAGACTATACAAAGCCCACTGAGAAATTTTAAAATGTTTATTTTGGGTGCTTTTTCTTTTCTTTTTTTTTTTTTTTAATAATTCTGTGTGACTTATTTACCTTGCTGAAATGTTTTTTGGAATTCAAGCATTTTTCTCAGGTAATGCTCAAAAACACTATACTCACAAAAAGACCTGCTTAGTGCTGCCAGCCAAGTAGATCTTTGGTCAGCTCAGAGAGTTCAGTTCTCATTTGAGGAGTCAAAACTAATTTGAAGTGAATGATAAAGAAGAAAACCCATATACTACAAAGCTTCTGGTTTCCCTCCTGACCTCCCTCTTATGGGTTATCCTTTGCCAGTTACAGCAGCAATTGTTCAACAGGGGAAATATTCTGGTGCTGGAATAAAAAATTTCAGGCATAACAAAACATTTACCAACTCTTTAGCTGATGCTTTATAGGATTGGTTTATATCCCAAAACAAATGTTATCTGCATTCAAATGTTATGTATATCCTGGTCTTTAAAAAAGAAAGAAAGAAAGAAAAAGAACTGTCTGCTTGCTACCTATCAAAGAAACAATACACTGGAGTGTGGCTAACTCTGCAAGACCTCAAGTACCTGTCCACCCTGGCTGATGTTGTGCATGGGTGAGCACACGCCCCTGTAAGGCCAACAAACAAGCCAGCAGAGCACAGTGCACTCTGTCCTGCAAATAGCTGCAGCCACTACTTTGTATCAAGCAGAAGCTACAAGAAGCCTCTAGGTCCAGTACAAGCATGCACCGCATACCCTGTGTTGGGCAAATTTTCTGTTTTTCCCTGCACCTACGGACCCCATATATACCCATGGGCAGTCCTAATAAACAGACTTCGGACTTTAAACCCCAGACTCCTGCTTCAGTTTCTTTTGCATCTCAGAGTCTCCTACATTTGCCCACACGGAGCAGTCAGCGGACCCCTCCGGGGGTTTGCAACACTGGAGATATTGATGACTAAAGTAACTTTAGAGGAGTATCTGGCTCATCCTTTGAGAAATTTCATGGAAGAACTTTATCATGCAAGGAAAGAAAGGCACCGTCTAAAGATCATCAGATTTTATGTTATGAATGAGTCCATTTATGTATGAATGAGTCAGATTCTGCCTTGCTATCAGAACTGTCTCCAAACTCAATAGCTATCTCTTCCTTGCTCTGGCCTTACTGTGTTCTGTACTGCTGGCCAGTCCCTTAACGAAAACACCTGCAAAATTATACCATCAACTGTGGCTTCCAGTGACTTCTCTATTGCAGATTCAAGGTAATGTTAGAAATTGGCCAAAAAAAAAAAAAAATGAATGTAATCTGAAAATACAGAGATGATATCAGAAGGAATAGTAAGGCCTCAGCCCTACTTGCTTACTCTGCAGCAAAGCCACACATGACCCATTACAAATTATAACCTGTAGTCACTGTGCTATATTTCAGATTTCTACCTGGAAATTAGAATATAGACCTTACCTAAGTGAGCACAGCCAGATCCCTACAATAGCAGCAACAGCAGCTAACATTTTTTGGTGACTTGCTATTATGCATCATTTCCCAAAGCAAAAGGAACAGGGCCAGTTTGACAGAGATACAGTGACTCCCAAACCAGAAATGGGCAGGGCTGAAATACCAGCATATGCATACACAAGCTAGAAGCCAGAGAGGGCCTGCTGTGAACTTTGACACCACAGGCATAATAGAGGGAAGAATTCCAGAACTCTCTCCCTAAGCTTGATGATTTGGTAAATGTCCTTTAGAGGACCATAACAAGTTTCATGGTTAAAAATCTAAATAATTCTCAGATTGCCATGGTCAATATGACCAAAGCTTTGCAGAAATTAACAAAATGTCAATAGATATTTTATTATTATCTTTCATCCTCCTATCAGACTGGTTGACTGCTTCCTAGAAAGCTTTATTAAAATATGGTTGCTGGCCGCGACCTCAGAGTTTCTGATTAGTAGGGCTTGGCCTGAACATAAGCCTTTCTAACAGGTTCCTCAGTAAAGCTGATGTTTCAGAATCCACATATTGAAATGTACTACAGAAAACCAGTGCTCAGTTTTAGAGAAAGTTTTACAGACACATGTCTGACCCCATATGAATCCTAAAATACTTTCCATCCAGTCAAGTAGCCCCAAAAGACATTTAAATTCTTAGGAAATCTACATCAGGGCCCATACTTACATAAGCATGTTATAAAAAACACATTTCCCCCAAATTCCTTGGAAAACGTTATTACAATGTGAATTCATGCAATCCAGGTGATATACCTTAAGAACAAGTTTCCTTAATGATTTGGTAACTAAGCTGCTTTAAATGGCATTTATTCCAAAGGCTCAAAATTAAAATGTTCTCAGGGGCCAAGAATATGAAGTACATCTATGAGCACAAAAAAAAAAAAACTGCATACCCCATCCAAATCAGACCTAGCTCCTACCTGCTGCTCCTGTATGGGAATCTGGACCCAAAATCAGATACTGCAATTTTAAAAGAATCCAGAAGTCCAGAATTTTTTCTTAATTTCATAAAGTACAGATATTGATCATGAATTCAAAATTCTTAAATAGCTTTCACACTCAACAAAATATATCCATATACTAAATATAGTCCATAAACAACCAGTTTACCAAATGTAGGTACTGGAGGTGGTGACTGAAGAAAATTCCATTGGTTCTATCAGCATAAACTGAGCAGTAACTATGGGACCAGCACAGTGCTAAGACATGTGGCAACAAGGGGTATGGAACCCCAGTCTTTAGCTTCCTAAATGCTCACAGTTGAATGATTATTTGATGATGCTAAACAAGGGAAACATCAAGCCAAATCTTATTACAAAAGAAAGAGAATGTCCAAGGATGCATTCACAGCACAGCAAGGACAAAAGAAAAGATCATAATTACTGGCACTTAAATAACTGTTTCATTTAAGAAAGATTAAAAAAAAAAAAAGTAAGGGTTCAGAATTGAATAAATTAACATAGTCAAACTTAC